GCAATTTTTTTTCAAAGATCGCATTTTAGTGAAAGCCGAAACTTTGCGGCACCCAGCCTAGATCTCGTTCATAATACTCTTCTGACATATCCTACTCATCATAGATCGACAGATATATACAAAAAAAAAAAAAAGGAAGTAGTCCTCTTTTATTTTTTTATTTTATTTTATCTGTTGATTAGGGCCGGAGGAAAGTATTCTTGGGTTGGTTTCCTACCTGTGTGTTACCTCCCACCCACCCTTTGCATACATTTTCCGTGTTGGTACAGTAACACGTCAACAGTGCCACATCAACAATGACACGTCAGCTACAGTGACACGTCAACAGTGCCACGTCAGACACAGTGCCACGTAAGCAGTGCCACGTCAGAGACAGTGCCACGTCAGCAGTGCCACGTCAGCAGTGCCATGTCAGACACAGTGCCACGTCAGCAGTGCCACGTCAGACAGTGCCACGTCAGCAGTGCCCCGCCACCATGACGGGCGCAGCTCTGGGCATGTCAGGCCAACTGGCCAATGAGTCCATTGCCGACTACAAAAAGCGCTTCCAGGCTCAGCTCGCTGCAATCGAGGCTGAGGAACAACGCCAGCTGGCAGTCAAGGCTGCCCAGCTACAGGCTGAAGAAGCGGCAACAGCAGAGAAGCTGCGGCTACAGGCCGAAGTAGACGCAGATACCCAGGCTCGCCGCAAGGAAGCCCAGGATCTGCTGCTGCGGCATGAAGCCAACAGCATCGACAGACTCAAGTTCTGGCAATTTGAACCGAACGGCGACGAACCAACACCGAAAGAGAAGCATAAGGAGTTCATGGCCAAGCTCGTGACAAGGCTGGTTTACACATGTAACCACCTGCAGTCCGAGCTGGCAAACCTTCAGCGGGCTGTGCGGAACCATAAGACTCAGCATGAGGTGCCACACGGGCACTCGACGCCCGTGTACTGGACCTGGAACAGGCTGTACCAGGACTAGCTGCTGGGGCTTCCAGCAGTGCATCCTCTAGCCGCCAACTGGAGGAACGCGTTGACCACGTAGTGGCAATGCTAGGAGACATAAGTGCTTTCACAGAGCCGGCCACCATCAGCCAGCGGTTCGAGTTGCTGGACACTAAGATCAGTCAGCAACAGCAGACCGACCACAGCCACAACAACAGCTCGGCAAGGCCATACAAGATGCCGACGTTCCRGATCGAGAAATTTGATGACTACACACATCAAGACCGGTCGTCTGGTGGCAAGGATTTACAACGCAGTTGGGGATCCACGAGGTCCCTGACCATCTGTTCATCAGTGCTCTGTTCATCAACACCAAGGGAGGATGTCAGATCWGGCTCAGCCACATGGCAACCATCCACGGCGTCCAGGTTTCAGACCTACACAATAAGGTCTCCTGGGCGGATATGGCAAAGAAATGGAAGAAGCGGTTCATAGTGGATGACGCACCCCCGCTCGCCATCAACCGCATCTTCGCGATGGCTCAAGGGAGCACACCGACACGTGACTGGCTCACGGATTGGCAAAAGATCGTGGCCACGCCCGATCTGGACTTGCCATTTCCGCATCTGTGCCGTGAGTTCTACAACAGGTCATGCGCCGCTCTGAGCCTCGCACTTGGTGATCGCGAGCAGTACCACACTTTCGCAGAGATCATCAACAAGGCGAGAGAGATCATCAAGACCAACAGGTCAGCTGCACACGAGAAATCAACATGGCAGCCGAACTATGTGGAGAAGGCACGAACTGGTCCGCGACAGCAGCACTTCGCTGCAGTCCAGCAGGACAGTGGAGATAACCCAGCAGCCACTCCAGCATCAAGTGACGGAGATCAAGTGGTTGTTGTCCAGCCGCGAAGCAACAACAAGTCCCGCAATAATGGGAAGGCGAAATCCACATCGCAGGCCGAAAATGGACAGCCAGTACAAGTTCCATGGGTCAAGTTCGGCTTGACCGAGGCGGAGTACAAAGTCCGCGGCCGGTACGGCAACTGCTATTGGTGCAACAGCACCAAGCACA